GATGCGGGCTGCGCGCGTGGGTGGGTGGGGCTGCCAATCAGCTGCAAGCGCCTAGGCAAGCACAAGCCGAATCCAGAGCCGGCCGCGTCCGCCCGCAGGCGCTGGCCCGGGCCAGGCAGTGTGCGCGCGCGCACCTTCTTGACCTCTGCCCAGGAGACGTTGACCGGCCGCATGCCGACGCTGCGCAGGGGGTGGGCGGAGGGGGATGGCCAACCGAATCAAGCAATGAGGGATCGCAGGCGGCCGACGCAGAAGCGCTGTCCCCGAGTACACACCACTTGCCAACTCAGACCACGGCAGGCATGCCCAGGCCTTGACATGTCCCAGGCAAACGCCCCATTGTCCTGCACGCCCCGTTCTGATGCCACGTCGTTCGTAGAAAAATGCGCGCGAGCGTCGTCCGGCGCGAGAGGACACCCAATAATGAAGCAGCCGCCGCTGCAACAAACCAAGCAGGCGCACCTAAACCCCGCCTCCAGCCGCCGCCGTGCCTTCTCGGCAGCTGCGTGGTTGTAGAACGTGAGGAAGCCGAAGCCGCGGTTCTGGTCGGGGTGCTCCCTGTCAGACACCAGGTCAACCTCCTCCAGGCCTGTGGGGTGTGGGACGTTTGGGGGCCAGGGTTGTGCGTGTTCAGTCTTTAGGGATTGAGGGCATATTCAACGCTCAAGTGGGCAAGGGTCGCTTCGAGTGCAGGTGCTGAGACCGGGGGCCCGGGGCTGACGGGTCGAGGTCTGGGCGGCCGCGAGCGGAGAGCCGCGGCTGCCGACCCCGGCCCCGGTCCTCGCCCCTCCCGCGCATGCAACGCCACGCGTCCTGTGGCGGGGACTGTCAAAGCAGCGGGACTGTCAAAGCGGCGACGAGCCCAGCTGCTGGTGGGCCGACCGCCAACCTGAACACTGGTAGGCTACGCAGCCCGACCCACTGACCAACTAACCAGCGGCCCGCTGACAACCAACCAAGTAGCGACCTGACTAACCTCTGGTCGTTTCACACCCGCAGGCGGGGCCCCGCCTCACCCGCGACCTCCTTGGCAAGAGTCTCCTTGAGCGCGGCGGGTGTGATGGTGCGCGGGATGTTGCCGATAAAAAGGCGGTTGTTGGTCACGCTTATGGACGCCTGGGGTTGGGTGTGGAGGGGTGTTGGTGGGGGAGCGGGGTTTGGGTTGTAGTGTTGGAGGGGGCGTGAAAGGGGTGTGTGGATGAGAATGAATCAAGAGGGAGGCTGGATAAAATGGGGACATGCGCGCGGGGGTGAGCGGCAGGTGCGGAGGGTAGTGTGCGAGGCCGGGTGTAAAGGGTTCACCACACGCGGGCGCAAGGGCGAGATGTTGCAGTCAAAGGGAGGGACGAATCTCCTAGGAAGTCGAGGCCGCTGGCGAACGAGGCGCCGGGGAGGTGTGGCGTGTCCACCTCAGCAATGACGCGCCGCACAGGGCATGGGCGGGCGTGCAGCAACACACAAGCCTACACGGCACACCCTGGAACATACACAGGCATGACCACGTGCACGCGTGCAATCACACTCACAGACATGTGTTGGATATCACACACACCTGGGCCTCCTCCCAACCTACGCACACGTGTAGGCCCCTGCAGACAGAAAAATGTGCACCACATACACTAACAGTCGAACACACACACACATACACACACACACACACACGAGTGCGGGCGCACTCGCACAAACGCACCCTGACAACCCGCTCCAGCAGCAGCCTGCCATTCAGCTTCTCAACAGCTGCCGCCGCGTCCTCTTTCGTAAAGTACACGGCAAACGCAAAGCTGAGGGGCACGGGAGGGTGTAAAAAGTGGAGGAGGACGCATGAGATTGCAATCGGTGGTCCAGTGTGCACAGAGCGTGCGATGTGATGGCATATGGCAGCAGCAATTTGTCAGCATGTCACGCCAGGCTCTCCGTGGGTGGAAGTGCGGGCGCAAGCGTGCTCAGGCGCGGCCGTGACTGGAGCGCACGCGGCCGATTGCGCTTGGAACGCGTGGACATGCGCAAGGGAACCAACGGTCCGGCGGGCGCCTCACCCCTTGTTGTGCGACGCGCGGGGCGCGTCCGGGCCCGGCCTGGGGATGCGAACAGAGTGGGTCTGCGGCGGCAGCGGCGCGGCGGCAGCAGGCCGGCAAAGTTGAGTGAGCGCCGACGCCAGGGCGGCCGGCAGGCCCGGGCCCGGCCACCAGACGGGCGCCGGCCCCCGCCGGCGCAGCGTGACGACTGCGCGGCGCGCAGCTGCCTGGCGGCTGCGGGGAGCGGCGCCTGCGCCGGGCGGCGCGGGGCGGGAGGTGCCTGGCCCTCGGATACTGCAGGGTGGGCCCGGCGCGCTGACGAGGAGTGGGGGCCGCCCACCTTGAGGCCGGCCGAGGCGACGAACTCTCTGACCTTCTCCTCTGACGCCTCGTGGGGCAGGCTCGCCACAAACACCTGGGAGGGCGGGCGCACGGCCGGGGCCAGGGCCGGGGACGTGGCGCGGGGCCGCGGGCGGGGTCGGTCAGCGGCGGCGTGGGACGGCACGCGCGGGCGGCGGGCGCGCGGCGTGTTGTTCTGGGCAGAAGGTTGCCCGTTGCAGAAGAGGCGGTGCGTGCGCGCGGGGTGGGGCGCCGTGCGCTGCATCCCAACAACTGCCCGTCGGCTGCGCCTGAATGCATGTCGTGTTGCTCGGGGCTCCCAGGTACGAGCGGCCCCCACCTCAGTGCCGTGGGGCGGCAGCTTCAAAGGGTCGCGCTCCTCCAGCGCGCCATCCCTGGCGCCAGCACCGCCCCCGCTGCTGCCGCCGCCGCCGCTGCGCCCGTCCTTGCCCTGGTCGGCCGCACCGCCATCGGCAGCGCCGTTGCCGCCGCCGCCGCCCTCGTGGGCGCCGCCGCCGTCCTCCGCAGCGGGCTCGCCAGCGTTGCCGGCACCGTCTTCGCCGTCCGCGGGCGCGGGGGTAGCCGCGCGCTCCTCCTCTTCCTCCATTGCCGCGGCGCCGCCAGGGCCGTCTGCCGCCTGCAGGGGCACGGCAGCAAGCAGGCGACGCTCGCGTTGGCGCGTGGCCGCAGCGAGCGGAGGCGAGGCGGCCTCGGGCGTTAGAGATCAGGGAACGATTTTAACAGCAACATAAGGGGCGCAGTGCGCTCAGAGTGGACGCAGACAAGCCATAAGGAAGAGGCCCCGGGTTGCGCACGTCTGCATCTCCCTCAGCGTCGTCCCCAGCTTGCTGGTCCTCAGAGAAAGGCTCCTCCGCGTCGCCGTCCCCATAGTCGATCTGCGGGTGGCAGCGCAGGTGCCAGACTCGTCATAGGCTGGACCGGAACACGGCGCCGAGCTGGCGGCGTGAGCGAGCGTCGAGGCCACCGGCGGCGCGCGCCTACTGCCGACTACGCGCGCACCGCGTCCTCCTCCCGGGCTTGCTCCGCCATGATTGATGTGATCCTGTTTTCCGTGGGCAGTACTATGCGCCACGAAGGGGTCTGAGGTGTGGTGCAAAGAAGCGGGCCCAGAGATCAGCAGGCGGCAGCGATCAGGGGTCAGCAGCTGAGTGTACAAGAAATGTTGTTGTGGCAGCTTCCGGAGCTACTATCGAGCCAGGTGGGAAGGGAGACTGAGCCCGCAGATCATGCTGCTGGCTCGGCGAGATAGGAGCTCACATGCTTGCAACTTCGCGTTGTGAAGACGACCAGGGACTGATCAGCGTACCACGACATAGAGGACCGGGCATGCCCTAGATATTGCCGACGGCCCAGCAAAGTGATGGTCAGCTTTCTGCGTGCAACCTCTGGTGCTGTCACACAAGCATTGCGACGAGGTAGCACCGCCACACCGGGCACAGTACATATCCACGTGTGCTGTGTTTGCAGGTACACACATGCAGAGTGTGACGCATGGCGTGATGCTGCGGATTCTGTTGACCACGGTTTGAACGCGGCAAGCCCAGCGCCCCACCATCAATCGGTCATAGCAACCGCGCACAGCGCACACACCTACAAATCAGAGACTTCACAGGTGCAAGAATTCCAGGGTGAGCATGTCCACATGAGTGTGCTGCCTTCGCGTGGTGCTCAAGCCCACTCCTCGCAACAATTGTGCTGACCACGAGCTGCTTTGCTGGGTTACCATGAAGCCATATGCAGTCAACCATGATGCCAGAAGCACTGATCAGGCAACCCCTGCCTCATCACACCTCAAGCTCCATGGTGTGGTGTGGGCTGCCTGCCAGCATGCTTAATCGAGAAAACACGTGTCAAAAAATGAGTAGCCGCACGCGGGACAGATAGTGATGTGCCAGACTGCATGCAGAGCACTGCGGGCAAGCCCTGTGGGATCACTGGGGCGGGGGCGGACCGTACTGCTGGTGCTGAGGGTGCTGGCTGGCCGGATACGAGTACTGCGGCTGCTGCTGCGGGTACGGCGTCCATTGCTGCTGCGGCGGCGGCTGCTGCGGTGGCGGCTGCTGGTACGCGTAAGGGTTGTGCGCCGGCGGCGGCTGCCCATAGCCGCCGGGCTGCGGCGGCGGCGGCGCGTAGGGCTGCTGCGAGGGCTGCGACGAGTATGCGCCGTGGTACGGCTGCTGCACCTGCAAAGCGGCAGTACAGGGTTCGTTTGGCAAGGATAGGAGCACACAATCTTGCAGGCGACTGGCCCTTGATTTTGCAAACCTCCCAGAAGCATTGCTTTCAGGCAGAAAGGCGCCTTAGGACGACGCGCTGGCAATGGAAAGGCGCCCCTGCAGGGAAACATCAGGGGCCCCGCGCACCTGTGGCGCGTACGAGTGCGAGTAGGCAGGAGGCTGCGGAGGCTGTTGCGCCGGCGGCGCATACTGCTGCTGCTGCTGCTGCTGCTGCTGCTGCTGCTGCTGCTGCTGCTGCTGCTGCTGCTGGGGATAGTAGTGCTGGTGCGGGGGCGGCGCAGCGTAGGCCGACTGGGGCTGCTGAGGCTGCTGCTGCGGCGGCGGCGCTTGGTGGTACGCGGCCGCCGGCGCCGGCTGCTGCTGCGGCGGCGGCGCGCCGGCGTAGTACTGCTGGGGGTGGTGCGGCGGCGGAGCGTGCTGGCCGTACGCGCCCGGCGGCGGCGGCGGGTGCGCAGGGTAGGCCGGCTGCTGCGGCTGCTGCGTTCGACAGAGAGCCAGGAGGGTGAGCGGAGCGGTGAGAGAATCCGCGACGCCATGGCGAGACGCAGCCAGAGGGGCGCGAAACAGGGCCACATGCCACTGCAGACGTGCAGCCTATAGCATGCAGGACAGACGCAGAGTGCCTCCCGCTAAAACCCCCACGAAAGCAGCGGACCTGCGGCGGGTTGACCGACAGGTACGCCATCGCCTGCGCCGCCTTGGCCTCGCGCTCCTCCCGCGCCCGCCTCTCCGCCGCGTCGCGCTCCTCCCTGCCGCGCCGCTCCAGCTCCTGGCGCAGGTCGTCCCTCTGCAGGGAGCGGGTGTAGGCAAAGTCGGTGCACTGCTGCTGGTGCGCCTTGACGGCCTGCGCGAGTGGTAAGAGGGGGGAGCGGCGGCACGACGAACATCAGCGGGAGTTCGCGCGTTTGAGCGAGGGGTGCTGCAGTGGAGCGGCTCGCAGCGGCGAGGGAGCGTGGCACCAGCCAAGGGTTAAGATCGCATCAGGCAGCGGGGGCGCGCGGGGTCGGCGCCTCGCGCGCGTTGTGAAGAGAGATGCGATGCGCGGGCGCAGGGATGGCCCGCGGTGTGGGCTGCAGACCGTGGCAATGCCCCCGCTGGCAGCTGCACAGCTGCCACGTGAAAGGGCTCAGGGCCGCGGCCAGGCGATTCCATATCCAGTACAGGCATCAGCCAGCCTCGGCGCGCAGATCAGCACAGGTCAAATGTGAATAGCCGAAACCCTTCTCAACCGTCCTGATGGAATTCACTGAGCCCTGAACCCTGGTGCTGGGGCCGCCCACCTCCTGCAGGCTCATGTAGAACCTGAGACCCTCAGTCAGGTGGTCAAGCACCTCCCTGGGTTCATATGATGGATGCAGGTGTGTAAGGATGAGGTCATGCAACGATTGGAATGCATGAAGGTTTGGGGAGCCGCGGGGCAGCACACCCCCGGGCGTTGGAGCAACCAAAACAAGAAATTTGCCCTCATACATGGACGTGTAGATCCTGGTCGTAGGAGGCAAAGGAGGTCAGGAGGAGGGCGGCGCCAGTGCCAAGGCTGTATTTCATGTTGGCAAGTTGTCGAAGAACGCCCCACCTGTACGCCTTGAGGCTCCCTCGCACGCCGCTCGCCGCCGCCTCGCACGCCGCACGCCACGCCTGCACCTCGAACACCGTCCGGAACGCCTGGGGGCGGATGCCAGGTTGTGGGTGGGCGAGCGCAGGGTTTCGGTTTGGGGTCTCAGGATCAATATTGCCTGTCAATTTGAAGCAAAGCACTGCAGACAGAGCCCACGCTGCCACAATATCGAGTCAGCGGCAATGCAACGTGTCGCGTGCACCGCCTTGCACGCACATGGACATGAGCTACAGGGGCAACGGCCCTTCCCAGATTACACACAAACACATTCGACACAGTCAAGAAACACACAAATCCGCACGACCATATGGTCAAACACCTGCGCGTGCCGCAAGAGTGCGGATACCGCCTCGTCGTTGCGCGTCGCGCTGCGGGCCGCGTCCTCCCTGAGCACATTGTACTTTGCGATCTCGCGCTCAAAGAGGGCGTCATAGGCTGTGTGTGTATTGGGGGGGGGGGTGAAAGAGCGTTGCAAGTCAGAGAGGGTGCGCATACGTGCATACTTGAAGCGCGCGCATGGGCGTGCATGTATATGCCTGTACACACTCGCGTGTGTCCCTTCATATAACGCGTGTCCTTGTGCAAAAAATCAATGTGAGTCGCAAAGGAGTGCAAAACAGCCCCAAGAAGCTGTCGGCAGTCATGCGTACTGTCGTTCCGACCTGAGGATGGTGATGCCATGAGCTTTGGTAGGATGTTGTCTTTTGCCTTGAGCTCCTTCAGGGCCTCCTCAATGCCTGGGTGGCGGTTGGGTTGTGTGTGTGTGTGTGTGTGTGTGTGTGTGTGTGTGTGTGTGTGTGTGCGTGTGCGGGGCTTGAGGTGGATGTGCACCCTATGCATCAGGGGGATGGCAGGGTCAAGGGGAACGCACACGTGGGCAACAGGCAGGAGCGTGCTCCCCCACGCACACCCATCCCCTGCCCCGGGCCGCGCACCCGCCCTCTCGCTGCTGAGGGTGTTGAGGGCCTCGAGGCCGCGGCGTAGGCTGGCCGCCACCACCACGGGGTCCTCCGGTCCCAGAGGCATCTGCAGAGGATGTGCGATTGCGATTGGCCAATCATCAGCAAAACTTGACAAGCAGTTTGTGTCAATTTAACAATGCTTTAAATCACAGTGTGACATATGACGCTGGGGGCCGACAGGTCAATGGAAGGAGCGAGAGAGGCAGAGAGCAGCATGCTGAGCAGAGTTCATCCTCGGGCAGAAATCCTGTGGCCAACACACGCGGGTGGCAGGAACAGACCCAAGCGGTTTGCGGACGGCACCCACCAGCGGCGCCTGCAGCCGCGGCATCTGCGCGGCCGCGGCGGCGGGCGTGAGCGCGTCGAAGGCCGCCTCGCTGTCCGCCAGCCTCTGGATGACCTTGGCATCGGAGTCGCCCGCCTGGGCCAGGGTCGACCTGCAAAAAGTGGATATTCACAGGGAATACGAAGGGGCAGTGGGAATCTGTGTGCGCACGTGTGCATAACAATGTACCACACAGCTGCAAGTTGACAGTGACGTCAGCGCCGCCCAGGTGCTGAGCTGCCAGATACAAAGGTGAAGCACACACCCCACCATGAGGTTCACAACAACACAGAGTCATACGACACACACACACACACACACACACTCAGCCCCCGCAGCCCCCGCACTCCAAAGCTACCTGTAGCTGTGCAGCTTCTCCCACAGGTGCTTGGCCAGGGTGGCGCTCTGAGGCGCCTTCCAGCGGTCGCCAAACTCGGCGCGCGCAGCAGCGTCCGCAGTCGACTCCTCATCTGTTGAGATGTGGGTGACCGGTTGTCGGCGGGTTGGTTGTCGGTCGGTTGCCAGTTGCTTGCTGCTTGTTGGTCGGGTGACTCAGTGTGGTGGGCACGAAGGGGCAGACGCGCAGAACTCAAACAGCAACAGACTGCCGGCGCGACTTCATAGAGCCTTTTTTTGTGAAAGAACGGCACAATCAGGCGGAAGGACTACCCACGCGTCCCTTGCGCCTGTGCCTGCCCTCGCGCCCCCCCTCGCCCGCACGGTGCCACCCCCCGCAGTCGCCTCTCACCCAGCGCCGTCTGGCAGGCCGCCAGGTCAGCCTCCGCCACGCGCCTCAGGTCCCCGATTTCCGACAGGATCTGGGGCGCAGAGAGGTGATGAGGACGGTCGCACGTGCGATATGTATTATGCCTGTGTGACCGGCGGGTTCCTTGGTGTCCATACCCTGTTCAGGCCCCAGAGAAAGTGCTGAACGGCCTGCAGGGCAACCCATGCATAGCCAGGCGCGCAATGGCGCCCCTAGCTCGTCGCCGCTGCGGCAGGTGGCGTGCCCCTCCAATGCAACACGCAGCACTCCCTGAACCCAAGGGCGTAAACTGTGGCGCGAGCGAAGCCCCGCGAGCAAAGCCCACCCCGCGGAGGTGCGTCGCGCCGCCGATGGCCGCCACATCAGCGAGCTCTCGCGCCAGCGCTTCCGGCAGCGCTGCAGCTGGGGAGGACCCGTCCAGAGCCTCCAGCAGCTCTGGCAGCTCTGCCTGTCGGTTGAAAATTCGAATTTTTTGTACTGTGTGAGGTCTGAGAACTTGGGATTGCAGGGTGATATGCTGATACTTTAGGCAGGTGTGTAGTGTAGCTTTGCACGTGCAGATTAAGTTGTGGGTAGAGGTGCGTGCGTGTCTGGGTGGTTGGCACGTGGGCTGTTGCTGCTGTTTGTGTTGTGGGGAAAAAGCCGCGATGGGCGCGCAGCAGCTCCGGCATGCAGAAAAACAGCCACATGTGCAGCTTGCTCAGTTCTTCACATGTGGCTGTATACTGCATGTGCGCGCAAGGGGAGTCCCGTAGTGACACATGGACTACACGGGTCGCCCAACTTGTGCTGAGCGCGGCGCCTAGGATGACCGGCCTGGGATAACCGGCAACAGACGGGTGTCCCTGCAGCACGTCAGGAGCACAAGCCTGGCGCAGTTCCAAAAACCATAAAACCCGATTCCCGACTGAGCGCCCCATACGAAAGACAAGCGCAAAATTGTTGCCACAGCGCGATGCGGGCCGCTCTGTCTGTGCCTTCCCCCCCCCTTCACACCGCCCACCTGCCGCAGCGCAATGCGG